AATATTTATCCCGTAGAGGGGGCCAAGAAAAGATATCCCCCAATGACTTGGGGAGAAAAAATTGAAGGAGGGACAAAAAATATTTAACCTGGGACAGTGGTCTAAATTTTATCCCTTTGGATATATCCCGGGATATCTTTTATCCCGGGAGAGCTAAGTCTATTGAATCTCCCCCATTATAATCATTTATTTAAAAAGATTATTTAAAAAAAATTATTGATATTTACAAGAACTTTAGAAAATCTCATTTCCATCAAGCAGCTTTTGGTAAAATTGGCATAATTTCACAAAAACTCAGAACAAACAACTTAAAATTCTGTGATAGCAGCCTTGGAGCAATTTGAGCCAGCAGCAGCGCGGCGTGTCATGCAAGCGAACGTTGTGTTGTGCACGTGGAATGAAAAATTAATTAGGCAGAGGCGTTGAATTTATCTCTCAGGGTAATTACCCCCGTTTGGGCGCGCGCGAAATGAGGGTGTGAGAGAGATATGCCCGCAACGGTGACGAGTGAAAAGGTCATACCATTGTACAAATAAATAGGGCCGGGTGCTGCGCAATGGTCTTTGCCAAAACCGCGCGCGCCCACCAGAAAAGCTGCCCCCGCAAAATCTACCCCTCTGGCCGAGTGAGTGGGTTTTGCACTGGCAGCTTTGGTGGATTGTGCACACGGACCTTGTATGGGTCAATATACTGTTGATAAGAGGATTTGCTAATTATATAGAATAAAAAAACCATAATTTGATTGTTCAAATTAAAAATAAATTTTAATAAAGGAAATACTGGATATATAAAAGAAAATCGTTGCTTAAAAAATCTTGCCAACATTAGAAACAGTTTTAGTCAATTGCAAATAATATTTTTTGATCTATCACTTAGGCAATCATGTTTTACTTTAGCGTTTTAATAATAAGTCAACCCTGTTTGTCAAATTTGTAAAAATTCCTATGCATACAGAAGCATGCACCGTATTGTTCATAAAATTTTGACTCCTATAGACAATTAAATGTGTTTTTAAATGAAAAATCAGTTTTTAAACATATTAAATGAACAAATTCAAATGAAATACAAAAATTATTTATGAAACTTATAATTATACCCTTCCAACTAAAATATAACGATTATTCGTGATTTTTTAAAAAGCGTTTTAGATTTAGTTGCAAATTAAGGTTATTTGTGTGCCAACTATTTTATCCATTATTTTCAATACTTAAAAATTGAAATAAGTTAAGATGAAACATTACACTTTTGTTCTTATTTCATATTTCTCCCCTGAAAATAAGCTTTCACTTTTATGTATTATGTTTTTCCTAATTACATTTCTTTTGTAATTTTTTTTATGAGATGTAAATTTGTTAACGTGACTTTAAAATTTAAATTTGGTAAAGGAAAAAAACTATACAAAAAGTTCTGAGGCTAATTTAATTTTACTGTTGTCAGGTCAGTTATTAGATTAAAGTTGCGTTTAATATAGGATAGGATTTTTAAATTCGAGAGTGTACGCCAAATGCAAATGAGTTTCGAAAGGGCAGCCAGCAAGCTAGGGAGCGAATGAGTGTGCGTCCGTCCGGTGTTGGCCGGTAATCAATTGCGAGGCGGGCGGGTCAATCGGCGGCGGTGACGCAGACGGTGTGCGAGGCGAAATTTTCCCACCGTGCAGCGAGGCGCACGCCAGCATTGGCAGTGCGCTCACGTCGGCGTAATAATGCGGCGCGAAAGAGTGGCGGCAAGTGTGCATACGCGATGATGATAATGGCAATACGTCATCATTCAATACTGCTGTGTGGGAGTTAATATGGGGACCATGCCACGCCATGCCCGCCGCGGCGCACTCACTTAGTGTGGGAACGGGCTGCTTTCTCACGAAACGCTATAGCAGCATGCGTGTATAAATTTACATGGCGCGCGGGCTGCGAGCCAACACACAGAGAGAAAAAGAAAAAGACCCGCAGAGATCCGACGACTGACTCGCTCGCTCGCTCGCCCGCCGTGCTTATGTGCAAATACATACGTATCTACTTCGGAGCACCGAGGGAACACCATCATTTTTATTGCATTTAAATTTAAATCGTATATTGACAATCGATCAAATTTAAATCGCACTTCCATCAAAAATTCAAAATGGTTTTTTGTTTCTTGACATTTCTAAATTCAAAATTTGGATAAAATGTTGTGAGGGCACATGTTAAGATACTGTGTTCCTTTTATTATATTGAAGTACATTTTAAAGTATTATTACCAACTTAATTTAATAATTATAATTTTGTTAATTATTTAAACAATCAAGGGTGTAAAAGACGCAGTTATTGTGAAATTAGTTGAAGACTGCACCAGACGTTTAACATTTATACGTTGTGATGATTATATAAATTTAGCACTTGCATAAAACAGTTTAAAAAAGTTTACGATGAAGGATTCTTTCATGCAAAAATTTAAACACAAATAAGTTTGCAATAATGTGCTCTAAATAAAATTAAAATAACTATAATTTAAAATGTAAAAATATAACTTTTTAATTAGCAATGTGATTCAAGATATTTGATATTTTAATTTAAATGAATACTATTCTACTCATTAAAAATTTTAAATTTGATAATAAAGAAAAAATGAGTATAAAGGGTCAAGAAGCAGAGATAAGCTTAAACAGAGGAAACACAGGTATTAAATTTATTATTTTCAAATTTAGATAATAATAAAAATTACAAAAAAATAATAGATTTGAAATTGTCTATTATTCGTCGAAAATAACTATTTTGAAAGTATTTGATTAAAATACTTTACTTTCACTTCTGCTAAAGTTTATGTAAAAAATATTACATTTTTCAACACGTACAAAATCTTTCAGTAATAAGAAAATTTTGGTGTTCAATATTTTGTATTCTTAATTAATTTTTCCGGAAGCTACTAGAAAGGATTTCCATTTTTGAACCTCATCGGAGTTCCCTGCGGACGTCACGTCAGCACGAGGGCGGCAGAGTGAAAAAGACCTGCTCGCTGAGGCGGTGTCATCAGCTCACTCGGAGCAGAAAGATCCTCCTTTGCTTTTTATCTCTCTCACACACCATGCAGCCAGCCGGGCTATCAGTGCGACAGGATGAGCTCACTGCCTGCCGAGCACACACAGCCTGCCTCCGATTTAATGCGCGCAATCAAATTGATTTGCCCCCAGAGTGTGCGAAAGGGAAATAAAGAGGAGTCGCCGCCGCCGCCACTCGGGCGGACGAGCGAACGTCGCACTGGCTTTTGCGCGCGCTTTTCGCCCTAATTAACCAGACGGGAGCGTTTGAGCGAAGCGGGTTGCTAATTATAATTTAACGATCACCAACACTTTCACGCAAAAGTCAATAAACAAGGTTGGAACATTTTCAAAATTAATGATAATAACGAACGATGTTTGTTATGATAAATCAGCATCAGCACACAGCAGAAACATAAGTTTATTATTTATCATTATAATTATTTAAAACGTGTGATTTAAATCATGATTAACAATGACATTTTTAAAATAAATTTGCACACGATGTAGTAAAACTGAAATTGAGAAAAATATTAAGGATAACATGGAAAATGTATTAAATTGAATCTAAAAATTTAGTTTGAATAAAAAAAAGAATGTAAAAAAGAGTATTTTGGTTTTAATTTTGAAGTTGAAGGGAAATGGGATGACGCCTACCGCCTAACTACACCGTTCCGCTGTACAGGTGAGCTCCGCAGGTTGCATATCCGAGCCACCTTGCAGGCTGAAATACTTGCTGCTTGACGGCGTTGTTAGTTTTTCCTCTCCCCACAACTTGGAAGTAGTCGCGCTACCGCAGACCGCCGCTGCGTATGATGTTTTGTAATCTTTGCGGCTTCCGCTGCAGTTGCGATAAACTCCATTCCAATACCAAGAATCCATTCAGCATTCAGAACCCAATCAAATTTTTAAATTAATATGAACATCTTTCATTTCAGTATGAATAGAAGAAGAAAGAAACTCCATATTTATGTTTTTCATTTGTTAGCATTTATCTTTTTTTTTAATTGTTTTGTGTGGAGTTGTAGTGTGTTTGCGTTGTTAAGTGAATTCCAGTTTCCATTTTATTTCGCAAAATAAATTTAAGGAACCTTTAAAACCTATAAAAGTTGAAATTTGACAGTTTTATTCATTTTCTCAGCTTCGGTTTTCTCGCTCAGTTTCTGAACCCACGTCAAATTTCGATATTTATAATCTAAAAATTACTTTTGGTTTTTCTAACGGAAAAGGTTTTTCTAAAAATGATTATTTATGCACTTAAATATTTTTATATTTCGAAATACTCTTATTCATTGCAACCCGGCCGGTTTGTTTTTCTATAAATTTCAACAAAACTGAATAATTTTCTTGGAATTCCATACAGATTAGGCTATATCTTTAATCTCGACTTATTCTCCTAATCATCAAGGGATTTTAACACCTTTCCCGTTTTTACAAACACCTTGATCCTCTTTGTCCCGAAAACACATTTCACAAAATTTCTCCTGTTACTTTTATTTTGTAAACTTTTTTCCACTCGAGTGGAGAAACGAAATTGCGACATTTTTCCTGACAAGAAAAATCCATCAGCAATTCTTCGAAGCGTTTCAACACACCGTTCGGTTTAATCCCGCGGCGCCGCACAAAAATAGAAAATAGGTGCAGCGATAATAATACGAATGCACCCGTTCAATAGAAATATCTAATCACAATCGAACAGAGAGACCTTTTCAAGAAAAATAAAAAGGAGAGCGCAGATCAAAAGAAGCTGCAGATCGAAACTCAGGTATGAGAGAGAGAGGCTGGTGGCCGGCCTCAGGTACGGAGCGATTTTCCCACACGTCCTGCACACGTGCGACGCCTGGCGAGCTAACCTTCTTCAAATCTCCCTCCGGCTCCTTTTTTTCTATTCTTTTTCTCAGCGAACGAGCGTCGAGCGAGCGCGGCGAGCGAGGCGCGGAGAGAAGTGGAGGGGCAGCAGGGACTTGCTGCCTGCCAGACGACTGCCTGCTCCCATCGGCTCTCTTCTGCCGGGGTGCCGTGGCCGTGCCGCATTCCGCCGTCGTCCTTCGAAGGCAGTGCATCTCGCGGCTCCTCTCCCGCTCGCGATACACAGTGACACAGTGTTGATTGATACAAACTCGGTTCAGTGCGAAACCAATTATGGTCACCGGGGCAGTGAACTCGGCCAACACGTCCACCCCGATGGGCAGCACCAGCAACACCCCTGTCGCCCCTGCCGGTCTCACCCCGAGTGCGACCGCCAACGGGGTGGAAATGGCCCCAACTTCGGCGACACCCCGCAGAGGCAGTGAAAATCGAAGGGTGAGTTTCTAAGTTGATGAAAAATTTTTATTCAATTCAAATCTAGAAGATCAGTAAAATTTGATCAAGTGCTAAATTTGAAATATTTGTTCAAAAACTTAGGAAAATTTAGGAATTTGATGAAAATTGTAAAAAAATAATTAGGAAAATAATTGCAAATTTAATTTTTAATGGCCAGTGGCAGGTTTGAATCTCTTTTCTAAAATTCTGATAATTTTTTAAACTTTCTTGGTGAAATTTTAAAATTTCGAATCTGCTTAATTTCTCCGACAAGAAAATATTTGAAATGTCCGTTTGTCTATCTTGGCGTAAATTGTTTTCGTGGCTGGCATTTGCGAAATTCCGCACACGTCTCGTCAGCAGCTATAGTGGTGATTGCTCTGATTAATTTCATTGCGGCGTCGTGTCTGCTTTGGCGCGGCGCGTGTCGGGCGCCCGCGACACTCGCTCATTAAGGTTCGAGTCCACCGGGTGCAATTCGCACTCTATCGATATTTTGCCACCTCTCGCATTAGTCTGGCCGAGATTTCGGCTGCGGTGCCGCGCGACGTGCATGTATGCATGAATATTACGACGCAAGGTGCCGGCGGATCAATAAGCTGGCACTCGCCGCCGACACTTGCTGCGGATTGCGAGAGGGAGATTGATCCTTCCCGATTCCCCGAGCGCCGTTGGTCTGGCGGCCGACCGCAATTTGTTTCAAACAAACGTGCTCGACTCTCTCTCTTTGTCCGAACTTAAATATTATTTATTTTTTAATTTATTAGATTATCCAAATAAAATTAATTAATAAATAAAATGTGTTTTAATTTTTTTTAATTTACACATTAACTATAACAACAAAATGTTTTAAAGTGAAAACAGCAATTTTTGAATTGTTACTCGTCTTCAAAATAAATTCCCCAAATTTCAATTATTAAGTTTGGAAATCCGGAACTGGCGGATAATCTCAGAATCTTTGAATCACCCCATTGAGTGAAAAAAACCCAAATCTTCCGCTCTGACGGGCGGAGTGCCAAAGTTTTTGCTTTCATGTTTCTGCAGAGGAAGCAGAAGTTTTTCTCACGAGTGCGGATCTCTCTCTATATTAACGCGATTTGGTGGGTTGTTCAAAATTGGCCACTTAGCGCTTTTGCTAGCCAAGTCCGCCGGCCGCATTACAGCTCTCGCCGCTCACTCGCAGTTCTGTGTTGCAGAGCAAAATTTATTTTCGCGCGCGTGGTTCCTGTTGCCGTGAAGTGCGAGTGCCGGCGAGCGAGAAAGAAATTTATGGCGTCAATGAGTTATTTTCGAATTGCACGCGCTCTCTCGCGCGACTTATTAGTGGGCCGCGTTGGACAAATGCCCGGCGCGCGCGACCAAGCCCTGCAAAGTTGAAAGAGAATAAATCCTCCTACTTTGCCCCTTGGCGGACGTGCGCCGCCGAAAAGTAAGCAAGCCGTCCGCGACCCACGCTTTTTTCGGTTTTATTCACTCTCGGACAGGATAATTCTGGCCAATTGCGCCCTTTATTGTAATAAAAAGTCGGTTGGCTTTCCTATCAGCAGACGAATCAATTATTATCTCGACACAAATCTCGCTGAACCTGCCTACGTACATAAATCTAGCACTTTATCTTTTTTTTCTGGTCTCGCGCAAAAATATATAATCAAACCGCCGCGTGTGTTGAATAAAAAAATCTATAACAAGTCTTGTTTGTTTGTTGTTGCAGAGTAACAAGCCCATCATGGAGAAACGCAGACGTGCTCGCATCAACAACTGCCTCAACGAGCTCAAATCCCTGATCCTGGATGCCATGAAAAAAGACGTAAGTATTTTTATTTTGTTTATGCACACATACAAGTCCCAACCCTTTTTCGCTTTTTTTTCTGCCGGCGAAAGGCGCGACACTCGTGTGTTTATCTTATCCCTCGGCAGATATTTGTTCTTCCCAGACTAATTCCGAGTTGAGGAAACTCGCTCTCTTATCGCGGTTTGCATTTCTCATTGCGAGTGTAGACAGGTGCTTTTTTTTTTTTTTTTTTTTCAAAATCCGATATATAGAGAAATAGCGGCAGAAACGTTGTCTCCGCTTCGCTGCACCGTCCCTTCGCCTCTCTTTCATAAACTCCTCTGGTGTCATTCACGAAAGTACTCGCCTGCCTGATAATCGCCCGCGGGGAGAGGAAATATATATTTTTTTTCTATGGGTGCTGCTGCGTTGGCTGGTTACTTAGTTAATGGCTAAAAAAATCGCCTCTCTGCTGACATTGCTGATAAAGACGACGCGCTGCTAGAGCTCTTTTCAAATCACATCCAACCATTTCCTGCCCGATAAAAAGAGAGCGAGCGTGTCACTGAACCCGCCAATATTCACACAGCCGTATCTCACGATCTCATATTTTTTGCTCTGTTACAGCCGGCCCGTCACTCCAAACTGGAAAAGGCAGACATTCTCGAGATGACCGTCAAACACTTGGAGTCTCTGCAGCGACAACAGTCGGCCATGGCCGTCGCCGCCGACCCTGGCGTCCTCAACAAGTACCGCGCCGGCTTCAGCGAGTGCGCCTCCGAGGTGGGTCGCTTCCTGGGCAGGGGCGACAGCCCCCAGCTGGACCCGCACCTCAAACGCCGCCTCCTGGCGCACCTTTCAAACTGTCTGAACAGCGTCGGAAGCTCCAGCTCGAGTTCGCCGCCGCCACCTCAAGCTCTCAGCTCGTCTCCGTCACCCCCTTCTTCGGAGCACCACGCCCTCGCCACCCCCGTGCAGGTGCAGCTGCCGCCGGGCATCACCGTGTCGGCCGACGGCCGCCTCCAGGCCGCCCACAACGTCCTGGGCAGCGTCCAACTGGTGCCCACGTGTCTGCCCAACGGCGACATCGCGCTGGTGCTGCCCTCGCACCAGTCGCACGTTTTCCGAAGCACGGCCGCCCCCGTTTCTCCGTCGCCCTCGTGCGCCAGTTCCGCCTCTTCGGGGGCCTCCTCGTCGCCGCCCCCGCCACCTCTGGCCCCCTTCTCAAGACACCACCCTTCACCCTCGCCGCCCATCGGCTTCAACCTGTCCATGCGCAGCAGCAGTGGCTCCATCAGCCCCAGCAGCAGTACCGGAAGCCACCACTCGGACCTGGTTCGGCCGATGAGCCCGTCGGACGCCAAACCCCTCTCGCTGGTGACCAGGAGGACCAGTGAGGACGAGGCCAAGTCCTGCTGGCGGCCCTGGTCCATGGTCTAGCCCCGAAGGCATTTTATTATAACTTTAAGTTCTCTGATTCCGAGTGCCTTTTTGATTTAATCAATGTATAATTAATTTTCTCGATTGACTGATTGGTATATAATTAATTATGTTATGTTGAAGACAGACACATTACGATTCATTTGTGCCTTCTTGCTTGTAAAAAGTAGGATCCTTGTATCTGATTTTTGCGATAATACTGTGATGTACATAATTTTAGTTGATAGGACCCTAGCCAGGATCGCATTATTTTGTTCCGACGTGAAATTAATAGTGCCTTATGACAACAAAATCACTTATGTCTTCCAATTGAACGATTTGATTTTTGTTACTTTGTACCATACAACGTTTTAATCATTCAAACATCGCTTCATATATATGTATGATTTTGTTTTCTCGCCAAATAAAAGCAGAAGATTTGAACTTCTTATTTTAATGCACTAATCAGCGAAGATGATTATATTATACTGAACGAAAGAAATAAAGTGTATCTCTTGAAAATTAAAATGAATCGCTAACTTTTTCATTTCAATCACACTCAACCCTATTTATAAAAATTGTAAAGTTGCAAAAAGAAAATCAGCTGATGTTTATCAAGTTGCCGCACAATGAGAGATAGAGAGAGCTCATTCCTTTTTAGGAAGTCCAATAAAATTGCCATCCGAGGAGGCGCATTATTATTATTATTTGCTGAAAGCAGCCAGCCGACTTGCCGTATATAATAAAGTACCTCTATAGCTAAACGAGAGATAATTCATCACCGATGCTTGAATAATAGCCGCCGAGAGAAATTACAGTCGCCGCTGCCTGAGTGCGCGGATCTCTAATTTATTGCTCGAACGCAACAAGTCGGAAAATTATTTGCAAATACAACCCGACGGTATAATTACGGCAGAGATGAATGTAAATTAATCCCTAGACAAACGCCCTCGTGCCGCGAGTTCCTCGTTGCGTATTAACTCAATTAAAGCTAGAGAGGACATGGATTAAAAACTAGTAAAGATGAAAAAATAAAAAATAAGATCAACCAAGTATAAATAAATAAACGAATAGGTGGAAATTTGTTTATAATAAAAAAAATTATTTATTTATTTCTTTACCAAAAAAATAGTGCTAATAAGCCAAGTATTGAATAAGCAGCGCGAAAGAAATTAAAAGAAATTTACAGCCATTCGTTCATCTGAAGTACTCCTTAAAAATAAGTTTTTTTTTTAAATTAATGCATGGTCACATGGTGGTCCTTCTCTGGTCATACAGATTGAAGGCCTTTATTTTATGAATTTTAAAACGTAATCAGTCCCGGCAGCAACGATTTAGTAAGAGAGGCAATTATTTTACAAGCGCAGTGGCAGCGCGGGAGGCGTAATTGAGGCAGAAATTTACGCCGCCTTCATTAAAACAAGGAAGACGCAGGCGAGCGAGCGAGACTCGTCGCTCCTCGCGTGACACTCCCAGTCCTGCTGCAAACCCCAGCCTAATTGTCGGCGCGGTGAAGAGACGAGACCATCTCAGGTTGGGCGAGTCTGACTCACGCGGCGAAATGAGCTCTGCGTGCACGTCACTTTTCTTCTTCCTATCGCACAAAATAAAGTCTCACGAGTCGCGCTAATTTTCGAGTTGAGTGATTCGAAGCTCAAAAATGTTGAATTTGAAAAGTGGTCCTGGTTCTCTTTGATAAAAGCAGCACAGCCTTTGAAGATTGAAGAGGGTGATAAAAACAAATGATTCGTAAGTGCCCTGATTTTGGCGAATTTAATTTTAGAGAGCATAATTTCTTCAACGTATATTAATGGGAACCTAAAGTAATAAACTAAATTTTTTACTCACATATAATTCCCACCAGGATTTTTCCATAGTAATTTTTCTCTCACGTGTAAACTATGAAAAGTGGACAAAATATAAACAAATAACTCGTTTTTGTTGTTTCACTTTTATAAAATGCGACTTTTAAAGATTCTAAGCAAAAATTATTATTCTTCTGTGAGACACAAAAGTTAATCCTTCAAAAATAGTTTTTTTATACCTCTTTCAGTTCCATACTTTTTATTCTTAGAGAAGAAGGTTTTTTAATTAAGAAACTCTTTAAAAAAAATTAAATTCCAGGTTTCAGTTTTAATAGCTTTTGCAACTCAGGTGGTCAAGAGGTGCGTTTTCAAGCCGGACGCGTCCGTTGCTTTTTCCATCACAAGTACGGCGCGACCCAGTTGATTTGCCGCCGGGACGGCAAGGTGAAATCTGGCCTGCTCATCTTTCTCGCGTAATTATTATTCAGGGGCTGGGCGCACAGCGGTGGCTGCCGCTGAGAAGCACTGGAAAGCAGCGGATCAGTGATTGATGTGACGCGCACTTGCTTTGAGCACTTGAATAAATATATATTGGCGAGTGGTGCGTGTGCGTCACCGCGTCTGCCAACCCAGCGCAGTCTGATTTATGCTTCAAGGGTGCCGCTTCTTCATTCCTCGTGCAGTATGTAAACCCATCCATACATGAAAGAGGATACACTGCTCTTAAGAGCCGAGAGAGCGTATGAGCATTGCACACACATTATACTTCCCTGTGAGAATTAATTACGTGATGGCTCCAGGGCAATACTTGAGAGAGAACGATTTCCATTGAGACTTTTACAGTTGAGGAAAATACGTGTCATGCATAATTGAAATAATTAATTTTATTAATTTATTCTAAAGAATAACATTTTTGCAACTCCTACGTAAACGAGAAATTATAAAAACTGTGAACTTCGTTGGGATGTGGTTTTCTGCATTTCCAAATTCTTAACAAAACAACCTTAATTGTGTTAAAGGATGTGGTTAAGCACACAATTTTGAGGCTACATCATTTATGTAAATTTTCAAATAAAAGTAAATTCAAGATTTAATTATTAAATTTTTTATCATTTTTAATGTGAATTATAGAAACGAACTTCAACAAAATGCCCTATTTTTCAGTAAACAAAATATTACAGTTTCATTGCATTGATTATATATTATATAAATGTAAGTAATAAATAATATATCAACTTCAATTTATTTCAGATTTTGGTCAAGAAATTGACACTTGAGGAGATGATCATGGAAATGAAGAGATCGCGCTTTTCCTTAATTTAAGATGTTATGCAACCCGCTCAACACATACACTTTATTTTTAATTAAATTGATATTAATTTCGTTTCACGAACAGTAGAATTGCATTCAGGTCATCTTACATCCATTCTTGATATTTTATTTTCTTATTTAAAAACAAAATTTTTTTATTTAGACTGGCAACTTTGAATCATTCAAAACAAAATCCAAAATCTGCCTTCTGGGACGTTAATTTCAGTTCAATTTTGTATTTAAGTTTGAAAGGGTAAGTTAACCTTAAAGTAATACTAGCAGCTCTAAAAGAAAATCGAGAATTCATAAAATTTGTGTTGAGCGGGTTGCAGTTTGCACATTTAATTTATTTTATAAAAATTCAATATTTTTTATTTTTTTTTTCTAATTTTGAAAACAGCATAGTGAATGCATTCAATAACAGTTCATAATTTCACAAACGGTTGCGTTAAAAATATTTTTTTTTCAGATTTATCATTAAATTTGCATCTTATTTTATTCCCATTGTTTCCTGGTACAAGTTTGCATTATTTTTGAATTGTAGCAATTTACGTCTTACAATCTGAATTGGGCTCGTGCAGCCTCACACCGAGACGAGAACACAATGGATGAACACATCAAAGCACGCGCGCGCTGCGAGCAAGGACACGCAGCCGAATCGTGCGCCATAATTTTCAATAAACCGAACCACAACAATAATTATAAAGGATGCAGATGTGTTAATATTTATTACACTTTTGTTTCGCCATAGGTCGCTGCTATATCACGCTATGTAGCTGCTTCTGCTTTGTATTTTATGTTGATGTTTATTTTTTAATCTCTTCTCCAGTGTCAACTGGCTTAATTTTTATTCAGATTTATGGCCGCGGGCGGACACAATAATAACAATGGGCGACTGCGCCACCACCGCGCCTGATTATACTATGAAATGAATAGAGAGCTTCTTGTGGGTGGATATTTTTTCCCTTTGATATATATTTTACATATTATATTATACCAGCGGCGCTGTTCGAACGAGTGAGAATAAAGCGCACACGCATTCAGCGGTGTGTCGGAATTTTATTCATTATTTATGAGCGAACGACTTGTCAAACAGGAAATAACTATATAACGTGGTGCCAGCACACACTCTTCTATTCTATGTATTGATCTATTGGTGCTTGTGATATTATAACTTGTAGCAAGGTCAATTGACTCGGAAAAAAAATTATAAATGAAGAAATAATAATTATAATAGTAGAATAAAGAAGCCTTTCTTAAGTTTATACATTAAATTAAATTAAAAACAACTTTTTTAAAAATAATGACAAAACATTTATTCAAAGTCAAGTATGAATGCTCTGGCAATTTCATAAATCAGTTTATGAAATCTAGCACAGGTCTACTGGAAATTGACATCAGTTTTTTAGCTGAAGTTGGAGATTCTATCACGCCTGAGCAAAATTTAATCTGGAGACAGTTTTTCAAGATTTCCGTCATCAACTGCATGTAACAATCCAGAGATTCAGCAGGTTCTTCATCAAAAACAAAGAATGAGATGAAGATCTTGAGGGAAGTCAAATATGGGGCACACCGATTCAAGAGGTTTTGAGTAAATTTCAAATCGACCATTATGACTTCCTCCAGCTCGGGTAGCAGCAACAGCTCCTCGCGCTTTCAGGCTCCGTAAGTTGAGAATCTGTGATCAGTGCGATTGCTTGAGAATTCTTTTTGAAAAATTGAAAATTCTTCTGAATTCCGTTACTTACAATTAGATTTCCTATTTTTGCTGTGTTTTGCGTTTCTCATTGTTTAGAAACATTGGTTTGTTGAATGTTGCGTTTTTGATCTGAATCCAATCTGAGCAAAAATCCAACAATGGCATTTGAGCAAATTTCTCTAAATAGGCTATGGGCATATATTCAAGCCTGAATTAAAAAAGAAGTTAGTTTTATGCATGACAACTATTTGTTTTTATTGAAACAATTAATGTAGTACAATATATTAATTAAATGTATAACAAACAATAAATTTAGTTATTATTATTATTATTATTTAATCTGGTCTATTTGTTTAAATTAATTTGAATTTTCACTATCAAACCAAAATTAAAATTTATATTTGTCCAGCATTCGAACTACACATCAGTTCCAGTTAACTAATCTCTCTTGATCAATATATGAAGTCTCCACGAATAATATAATTTCCAGCTTGGCAGGCGCCAAGTGGGACGGTGGAGCGCTCATTTGAAAAAGGGAGTCTGCTCGGCTCGCCGGCCGGCGCCGTCGCCGCGAAGCGATCTCCGCTAATTAAGCCGATTGTGCAAGCGAGAGCAGAATAATGGGAGGCGCGTGGTGGCGCGGCGGGCGCGTGACCCACCGTCGTCTTCTCTCGTGCCCGGCGGCAGTCACGCCTGGCGCGTCGGCAACCG